GAGATAGCCTTTATTTTTTTCAGATTATAAAGGCAATAATGCTGATTATAGCAATTTTACATATAAAAAATCCACAAAAAAGAAAATAAAAACTATCTGTAATTGCACCCACTCAAAGAAAACCACTTTTAACATTTGTATGTAATTTTCTATGTGTACACAAAATTGGAATCCTATTGTCATACCTAATTTTCTCAAGGATCATAACGATAACTTCTGAAGGTAGATAGAGGAGACATTTTTACTGCAATTTAAGTGATGAGAAAACTGGAACCCAAAGATACACATCTAATCAATGGCAGAACTAGGACTGGAACCCATGAATTTTGACATAGTCCCAGGCTCCTGCTGTTCTCATGAAGCCTCCTAATTAGGTGGTAGTCTTCTTGCAAGAAGAAATTCTGCATCAATCCAGCACATGGGACATGGGTTTGTAATTATATATTCTTCCTCAGGAAAGAGATAGATTTAAGCTGATCCTATGTCTATATCATGGCCGTGTAGTGCATAAGGGGCACTGTCTCACATTTCAAAGGGAAACAAGGATGGAGCACCTAGGATCTCAACCCTGTGATTGGCCAGCCAATGGAGCTAGGCAGGCACCATAAAGAGTCAGAGTTTCTTTCCAAGAGCAAAATGACATTTGAACAGTGGTGTCTTGCCTGAGAGCACATTGCTATGGAAACCACAGCCATGGGTTCAATCCCATCATAGATTAGTGAGTTGCACTTCAGTCCATGACCACTGACTGTATTCAAGAACAATGTACACAGCAGGTGTTCAATAAGTGTGCACTGGGCTGAATTGAATGTTTACTATTATTCACCAGAGACAGTGGGCAAAAGAGAATGCTGATAGCAAATATAAATGTCCCCACCACTAAGCCAAGTATAGAAAGAATAATTGAATGTGCACTAGTTTTCCATTTTATTCTAAATAGAGGACTAAATTGTAATCCCCAAATGCAAACACACACAGATTGTTAGCTGTTTAGATAAGGAAACCATATCTTATTTAGCTGCATGTCCCCAGAATACCTAGCACAGAGAGAGACACATTTGAAGTGTCAGTGTTTTTTGAATTGAATTATATTTGCTAGGCTGGCGTGGGAGTCAAGAAGATGTTGACTAGTAATTCACCATTCCTTTCCCTGAAAGCTCTGTAAATCAAGCTCTTAAAAAAAGAAGCAAGCTAAATTCCAAAACCATCTCTTAGGAGAAATGCCCATGGCTGGTGGGGTCTGGACTATGTCCACTGAATGTGCAGGTCTCTTCTGCACAAACATTGCTTACTCCCAGGGGAGCCCATGACTGGCTGACTGACTATGGAGCCTCACACGTTCCATCTTTCCCAATGGCAGGGGGGTCAGAGGAAAGGGGTGGGAGTCGAGTGATGAAGCACTGCTGAACTAAATGTTCTCCTCTTCCCAGGAGAAGGAAAATATCACAGCAGGAGGACTGTTGGCACTTTTCTAGAGGAACAACAATAAAGCACATGGGATATAGTTGAAAATGATCTTTCTGAAGACAAGTTTGTTTTTTAAAGGGCCACTCTCATATTCTCTCTTACCTTCGATTGGAATGATACTATTGGAATGGGCTTGTCAGAGCTGGGTTGGAATCCTACAAACTGGGATCAAAGTTGACTGGATGAGTGGTGAGGTAATATGAGATACAGTTGAGGAGCCATTAGGCCAAGAGCCTCACTTTTTCTGAATTTATCCTAGAGCAATAACAAAAACAAACAGTATTTGCTAATAAGAACCTTTCCTGAAATGTACTGAGCTGGGTTTGAAGGAATTGGAATAGAAAATACTGATTTTTCTGGGAGGCAACCAAAACACAACTCACTAATCCCCTAAGCTCTTAACAAACTCTCTTGAAGATTTAATCATAATGTAAAATCCACAAGTTTTTATTGGCAGTGTACGGTTATCAACTGCACAGCTCTCTGAAGTGGCAACCAATACAATTCCCAGGTCTGTCTCCATTACACATTCCAGAGGCCTGCTGGCAAGGGCTGTCAGGTTGGTGCCCTGGTCTAGCCTAGTAAATTCTTTCCAGGGGAGACTTAGGGCACACTCTTCCAGCTGCCAAATTCTCTGCTTATAAGGTGCAGAATTTATTAGTGCAAAGAAAGATAAAAAGAAAGCCTGCTACCTTTTTAAGTGCTTTTACGTACAGTTTCTTTATTAGAGTTTGGTGTTTCCAGAAATACAGCTGCCCAGCTCATATGAGCCTTTGTGCTAAATCAATGGGACTTATTTTAGCTTCCTATGAACTTCTGTGAGCTCTGCTGCCACCACATATCAACCGAGGTCTCTTGTGCCATGCTTTCAAAAGAAGTCACCCACAGCAACTCTCATTTGGGGAGAACAAAGCCATAAGGACCTGTGTCTTTAACCTACATATGGCCAGCAAAGGTACACAGAGAGTTGATGTGGAATACAGGTTTGTCCAACTCTGGAAATCAAGCCTGTCTAGTCACCCAAAGACCACCTTTTCCTAGCTGAGGTTTTCTTCTCTCCAGTTCCTTAAGGTGCCCGTTTCCATCTCCAGACCTTAGTCTGAGGCAAATACTGGTCTCAGACCACAGCACAGTCATCAAAGAGAATACTGCATGAAATAGTGTGGCACAGCGAAGAGAAAATAGGATTAGAACTGAAAAACTCTGAGAGTTCCAGCTGTCACTGCTTGAATGACCTTGGATAAGTCACTTAATAACTTCATACAACCCTAGTTTTTCTTCAGCAAAATAAGTATAAATAGTCCTACTTATCTCACCAGACTCCCTTTAGAGCAATTATGACAAAGCACAATTATCTGGTTTATATGTTTATTTTCCATTTCTCAGGGTGCGTCATTAGATTATAGGCTCCAAGAACTCAGGGACCCTGTCTTTTTGGGTCCTCACAGGGGCCCATTGCCAGGGATAGTGATCAGCACATAGCACATGATCAAGAGGGGTGAATGGGATTGGAAGGAGTGAGGGAAGGAATTAAGGAAAGAAGGAAAAAAGGAAGGAAGGGAGGACAGAGGGAAGGGAGCACAAAATGTTTGAAGTACTATTGAGGTACTGTGTATGAAAGTGGTCTGTAACTTATTAAGCGTTATCCACGTCATTGCAACAGTTATAACTATCTGATGCATTAATTATAGCGGGGTGACCTTTTAAAAATGTAAGTTAGATCATGTCACTTGCCTGCATAAAACCCTTCATTGGTTTCTCATCCCACATACAATAAAAGTCAAACTCCTTTTAGCTTACAAAGCGCTACATGATCTGACCCCTGACGGCCTCGTGTCCAGCCAGACTCCCCTTTCCTGGCCAGGTCCCCATCACTCCAGTGTTCTGGTGTTTCCTCCAACGTGCCAAGTCTATTCCTGCTTTGGAGTCTTTGTGCTAGCCCCTTCCCCTGCATGAAAGCTCTTCTGCAAAATCCCCACAGCTGGCTCCTTCTTGTCATCGCGCTCTTGACCTAAATGTCACCTTCTCAGAAGCCTTCCTTGTATGCACACTCTAAAGGAGCCCTCACTGACTCCGTTACAGCACTCTATTATTTATTTATTCGTTTATCTAGTACTAGTCTCTTCCCCACTGCCTGATGGTTAATGAGTACTTTTGTGTGACATCATAATTATTTAAGGCTTACATTTCATAGATACTTTTCTAATTATAATTTTGTTTTATCTCCACAAGTTTATAAGCTCAAAACAAACAACCAAATAAAAATCCCTGTGGTTCCAAACTGAAAACTCCCTCTTCACTGTACACCAGCTCCACACACACTTTGAGAGAGGTCTTCTGGCCCTGTGAATAAAAGCAACTGGGCCAGTTTTAAATTTGTGACTTAATTGGACTTATGTACACGTAATCAGTGATGGCAACAATAACTCAGTACTCTAACTTGGAGGGATTCTTTTGAGACATAGAAATGGTGCCGTTGAGTCCCAAGCTGTTCTCTGTCCTGAGCTTGGAGGCCTCCTGGCTCAGGGCTGGGGGTGGGGGTGAGAGGATGGGGGAGGAAATAGGCAGAGGCAGGACTCAGTGGTTCCATCTGGGTTTGTTTACTATGGACCCCAGGGCAGCAGTAATTCTGTAGGAAGAGCACTGGATCAGGGCACTGGGACAGGTCTGAGGGCTGCCCTATGTACCCACTTTCCCCCACCCCACGCTATCAGTCCCTCTGTTACATGAGGTGGAACTGACCATCTTGAAGGGGAATCCCAGCTCTGACATTCTAGGAGTTAATGAGAGGAGTCTGACCCTTTTATCTTAAAAAGTCTATGAAAAGGATAACTCACGTAATATTTCTGATAAGCGCAACTTTTCTGGACTAAGTGGGATTACTTTGATGGGTCAATAAAGTCACTGGACAAACCCAGATGGAACCACTGAATCCTGAGAATTTGCCATTCTTCTTTAGCCTTTGCCTTCCTTTGCTTGCTGAGAAAAGCTGGTGCTCTGGGCAAATCCCCTTGTCAGACAGGGATCAACATCTAACTGTAAGTGCACTTTAGCCACTCCCCAAGAGATGGGTTCCTACTATATCTGATCTTGGCCAACAGTCTCCCATCTGCTTTCAACATGTTGCATCTGACGTTAACTAACCTCTCCTACTGGCATTAAAAGAAAACAATCTGGAAAAATTCACTCTCAAGCAGAGTTCAAACAGGCCACAAATAGATGTGGAATCTCAATTGCAGAAGGTTTGTTAAAATAGTAGTAATAAATAAATATATAAATGTATATATATGTATACGCATACATGTATATGTGCATATGTAGGGGTGTGTGCGTGTGTGTGTGTGTGTGTATGTGTAGTGAAACCAAAAATCTGTGAAGTGGGTCAAGAAAACAAAGAAAAGAAAGCTTCTGTCCAATTTATCAAATTAACTGATAACAGAAGAAGGATAAAAATTCTCCCAGTGTGGAACAAGGCATGATCAAAAGAACTGACTGACATGCAAAAGGAGTTGGGAATCTTATTTCACACTTACTGGTAATGGGTTGAAATTCTGGTCCACAAGATGATTGTATCCATGGTCAAAAAATGAGTGCCGTATCACGACATCAATGCCCTGATTGGCCAGCATTCCTAGAGTGTTCAACCATCTAAAAAGCAGGGGGAAAAGCTACATCAATACATTTTTTAAATGGCATAGAACAAGCTCTACAGAGATCGGCTAAGGTACACACATACACACCAACCCCCTCATCCCTACTTTAAAGGAGATTATTTTAAGCTTTGAATACACAGCTGGAAGAGATTTTAGAGATGATCAAATCCAACCTCTTCATTTTATAGGAAAAGAAGCAGAGGTCTAGGGGAGTAAAATGAGTTGCCCGTGGTCATAAAATAGCTTGTTGCTAATGACTTATCTCTTAAAATGAACACTCTAGCCACATGTAAGCCTAATTATCACCCCCTCTGGCCACAGGACACGCAATCACAGGAGCACATACACTGTACTTTCCATCATTCAAACTCCCCTGCTTGCACCTATCACTGTACGTGTACCTTCCACGTGACTCTAACTCACATACTCCTATACCCTAAGCAAGAGTGGTCAGTCATTTGCATCCCTCCTATATTACTGTCAGCAGTTGATACAATAATAATTTTCCTTGACATTATAACTGACTATATCAGGATTCAAGTATGCTACCATCACACACATCACAATGGAGGACCTGCATTGCTCACACACTTATTGCATACCCCACTAGGCCAAACATCCACTTTCCAGGGCATGCTATCCCTCAAAAATTACTGCCCTCTTAGTTCTTCCAACATCCACTGCTAACTCTGCCTTCATTATTTACACTTTCAATTCATTCATTCATTCATTCATGCATGCATGAATTCATTTACTTTTCTCTCTTTTTATTCCTACTTCTGAAATTTAGGGAAACTTCTAATTGTAATAATATATATGTAAGAAATGTGACTGAGAGCTTCTGTCTTCTGAGTATAAAAGATAAGGCATTTCACAGTCTTTCCTAAGCATATGTCTGGCTTTATCTGTCACCTCTTCTCTCACCCAAAATTCCAACCCTCAGCCTCTAAGCCACGTAAAGCTACTTTGGGCTGCATGAATACACCGTGTTTTCACATACCTACCTGAATCTTCACACGTGTTTTAACTCCTGCTTAGAATTCCCTTCCTCTCTTTTTCTAACCGACATCATTTGGCAAATTTCTTCCCATCTGTTAATCTCCAAGTCAAGTATCATCTCCTTCTAAACTCTGCTGCCAACAGAGGTAACTTTCTCCTCTGTACTTCCCCAGAACTCTTGTTCACACCCTCTGCCAGCCCACTAAATGAGAATTACTTATTTCTCCAATGTTCCCTGAGTTGGTTATGAGCTCATCGAGAACAACACAATATTTTAGCTTTGTACCCAAAACACCCATCATAGTTCCTAGCTCACGATAGGGGCTCAAAACTCTTTGTTAGACTGAAACTGATCTGGATAAAATTAGATTCTAGGAACTTTGAGAATCACCATTCAGCTTGCTAGGGATAAATTACGCACAGTTGTGATTTGCCAAATCTGAAACCATATGGAGCTCCAAGCCAGTGACTTGTAGAATTAAGTTTTTTCTTACCAGGATAAAGAGCATTGTTAATTTTTATATTATGAATGAATATTATTAATATTTTCAAATCTTTCTCATATTCACAATTATATTTTATTCTCATAAAAACTAATAGAGTTACAAAAACAAAACAAACCAAAGCAAAACACAAAAATGAAAGTTTTAAATCAAAAAGAAAATCTGACAATAATATAATAGAACCTTGTTTGTTGTTGTTGTTCAGATTGGGACAGTGCGACCCAGGGAATTTGAAATTACTTTTGGAATATCACCTGGCTAAGCTGCTTGTTTTTATCATTTGCATTAATTTAGCAACCTGTGAAATCAGGATAACAGTTAGCTTTTCCTTTAGCCATTGAGACACAAGATTAAATGTCCTGGAGAAGAACTACAACATGAATTCTGGGCTGATGCCTCCTAAACCAGTGCTCTTCCCACTGAAATAGCACAAATACAACAAGGTCTATATCTAACAAGTATTTATCTACAAAAACAAGTATGTCTTATTGACTCTTCTATTCCTAGGCTTGTTGAATCAATGAAGAAACAAAATGATGAGTAAATACATAATCACATAAATGTGAGTCCCTACACCTAGCAGTATCTGGATATCAACACAAGACCATATTTTGGTATTTTTATATGTGAAAAGCTCCCATTTGTTCATTCATTCATTATTCATTCAACAACATTAATTAATCAACTGTAAATGCCAGGACTTGTTCTCAGCATCGAGGATAGATACAAAAATGCTTGTGAGACCAGGTAAGTCACTTGTAAAACAGTGGGTATGTAAATACCTGTTTATACACATTTATACAAATGGTATCAAATTCCTACTTTTGACCTCTACAGAGCCTAACACAGTGAACCCCAAAGAATATATACTCAACAAATAAATGTTAATTAGTAAATCTGGGGTTTTTTTGCTAGTATATAGGGAGGTTTTTGAAGGAATTCTAAGGTGAGAGGAAAGACTATGCATCCTCCTCTCCAAACTGACATCCTAGATGAGCAATCAGGGTCTGGAGCATTCAAAACTGACTATGGCCAGAACCTCTGCTTCCCTAGGGCTTTTCAGAGGGGAATGGTTAGTACTGAAATTATCTTCATCTTCTAACAATAATAGTAAGTCCTCTGAGAGGGGGAAATAAACGGTGTTCCAAGTCTCCCTTTATGCTCAAGTAGAGAAAAGTGGCAAGATGACTGGAATATCCCACCAAGGATGTTACTGCAGCCATAATTTTCCATTCCACAAAAATTTATTGAATACCTACTATGTGGCAGCACTGGTAGGTGCTGGAGACACAGTGGTATGCCAAGGGTGGATCTGTAGTGCATTAAAGAATCTCAAAGCCCTAATTAGGAAAAATACCCTTGAATACTTGGCAGCAAAGAATTCTGATTTGTCTGTGTATGTGTCGTAAGCTCATAGTTATGCCATATGTTGGAACAAAAAGCTGAAAAATGCCTTCTTTCTAATTCCTTTCTAGGCTTCTGGAGCTTCTTAGGATGCTTTACTTTTTTTTTTTTCCAGGAAGCAATTTATGCCCCTTGGAAAACTGGACTCAAAGGGCACATTACTGGGTGCTGCCAGTGAAGTTGAGAGCAAATGGGTGATAAAGAGGTAAGACAGAAGACCAGAAGCAGAATGAGTTAGTTTTCATTTGATCTGTGTCAACCAAGCATTGGATATCTGAACTACAACCAAAATCTAAACAACTATGTTAATTTGTGTTCCCACAGTGACTCCAGAGACCTATGGATATTTGCCTGATGCTCATGAAAAGGCAGGTCTCTCTCTAGCTCCCTCTGTGAAGGTCTGTGGTATTTTTCATTTCATTTCACTTCATTCCCCAAAGGGAAGAATGCTCATGAAAACACTCAGTACAACTGAGCTGCTTGCTGGGCCCTGCAGCAGAGTCCTTGCGTGATGGCTGAGCAAAAGCCATTCCTCTGCTGATTCCAAGGGGCCCCTGGCAGTACTGACTGCCACTGGCTTCTCACCTTTGCCCCAGAGCTCACAGTAAGGAGTGTGTTTTTGAAAGAGGACTCTCAGCAACACTGTATCAAATGCTGATTCACTTCATTTCACCCATTTGGCCCATGCTCATTGAACAACTGCTCTGTGCCACTCCTTGTTAGGTGCTGAGGACACAGGGAGGGAAGACCCAAGATATTGTCATATATTACATTGACTCATTATCTTCATCTGCATTTGCCAGGATTCCATCTGTAAAGACAATCTACTTGCCTGGCTTGATTTGTTCTTCACAAATATATTGAAGAGGCAGCCTTAGGTAGGGGAACTACATCTGTATAATTAGGAACAGCTGTTACAAGTGAGACACATAGCAGAGGGCAGAGCCGCAGTACCTAGGAGGACCTTACTCAGCCAAAAAGCCAGGGCCACAGGACTAGACTGGACCAGGAACAGGTAACTTGGTTAGTCCATGGTCCTGAGAGGTTTGTCCCTGTCACCTGCCACTGGCAGGCCAGTTACAGGCCCTTATGCTTCTGGCTTAAGTCACTCTCCAGAAGACTGCAGTAGCCTCAATCCGTTTTCCCATCTCTTGCCTCTCCAAACTCTTGTGCATACCATTCCCAAAGCCAACATGTTTTTTTTTTTTTTTTCCTGGAGGAAGGTTAGCCTTGAGCTAACATCCGCTGCCAATCCTCTTTTTGCTGAGGAAGATTGGCCCTGAGCTAACATCCATGACCATCTTCCTCTATTTTATATGTGGGACGCCTGCCACAGAGTGGCTTGATGAGCGGTGTTAGGTCCATGCCCGGGATCCGACCCCGCCAGCTCTGGGCCACCAAAGCAGAGGGCGCGAACTTAACCACTACACCACCAGGCTGGCCCCTAAAAGCCAACATTTTAAAAGACAGGTCAGATGGTGTCTCTCTCCCTCTCCAAAATCATCAATGGCTTGCCACTGAGGCTAGAACAAGGCCTCATTTCCTCTGGCTCGTTTTTCAGGCCTTCCATTATTTGGTGATAAACCCCCTCCCTAGTTTCAGCTCTTACCACATCCATGCAGATGCCAAGGCTCTTGTCATACCAATCGTTTCTCCCACCCTGTGCCTTTGCCCATGATGTTCCTCCAGACCAGAATGCTCCCCTCTACCATCACCACTATAGAAATTAGAGTAATCTTTCTATGTCCCACTCAAATACTGCTTCCTCCATGAAGCCCTTCCTGAGTCTCCCAGTCAGAGAAACCCTTGATTCCTTTGCATATCTACCACTTCCCTTTTGTGGACAGACCATGTGAAGCAGAAAGAGAGATGGTCTAATGTAGTGGCAAAGAGGCTGGACTCTGGAGCAGATTACCTGGGCTTGAGTCCAAGCTCTCACATCTACTCACTGGGTTGTTATAAAATAATAGTATCTACCCCACTGGTTGTTAAATTATTAAACATATATAGAACACTTCAGAAAGTACTTGGCACATGGTAAGCACCATATAGTTAAAATTATTATTATTAAAGCACTTATCTCCTACAGCTTGACTTATCTCCTATCTCCATTCCTCCAATCACAAGTCTCGGGGGGCTAAAACCTTGTCTTCCTCTTATCTATCTCCCAGGACTCTGGTGAAAATTAGATGAGAAAAATGCATGTTTTCTGCACTATGCTTTGCACTGTAGACATTAAATAAAAGTCTTACCACTATCATGATTACTATCGCTACTACTACTACTACCGCTACTGCTGCTGCTGCTGCTGCTGCTGCTGCTGTTACTACTATTTGCTCTGATGCCTGTGCCGGACATCATAGTATCTAGAGTAGTCACTAATCACTGTCTGTGGAATGGTTAAACACATTCACAGAGAATGGATGAAGAACTTTCAACGGGAAATGAGTTGTGCCCCCTCCAGCAAGCAGAATAAGGAGCAGTGCCACAGTTCGCTGTCCTTCTTCCCTCAAATCCCCGGGAGTGAAACTACAAGTCTTACTCACAGGAATCCTGCAGCATAGGAATCTGATAGATTGTTTGTGCCTCCAGCTGAGGTGGTCACCACGCCTTCAAGCCAAATCTTCTTTCCTGGGGTGTATGTATTAACCACCTGTCACAAAATAAAAGCAGAAGGGGATAATGAGATTTTTTAAAAGCTGTTCCCAAATGAGAAAGACACACATTCCCTTAAGGAAGTTCCCAATCTTCTGCTCACAGATGGTCATGATCTGTGCTTTTTCCATGATGATTCACCCAGTATAGTGAGCTGGTACACACACAAAAGCATTAACATTGATGTAGTCCATTTGGGAAGTAATAACAAGGAGTAGGAATGAGGAATTGGGAGACCCAATTAGGGAATAAGGGAAAACCAGTACAAGGATGTATTTTCAAGTTGACAACCACTGCCAACAACTTGTACTCAATCCCACAGGGCAAGAGCCTTATGAACTGCATCTCAGAAATGTCCCCCAGGGGATACAAGGGGAAGCATTTATCTCTTGGCTCCTATCCTCCAAAGGTAAAGAGTAGCATTGTGACTGCTAACCTCCCCCAACCCAGTACACCATTTCAATGTGCAGGCATGAGTGTTGAGCAGGTTTCCTGAGCTCCACACCTCTGCCTTAGAGAAGTCCCAGAGCAGGAAATGAGAGGCAAGCTCCCACTGCATAACTCTAACACCAAGCTGGTTGCAGCCAGTGTACCTACCTAGCTCTGGTGTCTGTAGAGATGGAAAGTATAGGAGGTAGGACTGAGAGGATGCTGGCTATGCATAAAAGGGGTTGGATAAAGACAATAATGTATTTAGGTCCTATAGCCCACCAATTCCTCTCCTAGACATACAGACCAAAGGAATTCTTCCTCAGGCCTCTAAGGAGACGAGAATGAGGATGTCACTAGGTCACTGTTTGAGACAGGTTTCCATTGCTAGAGGATTGGAAAAGTAAAATGTGGTGGACACATATCATAAAAACTTATGCAGTAGTTAGAGCAATAGATTCAACGTAAATCCGGCAACATGAATGGGCTTTAAAGATTTAGTGGTGAGTTTAAGAAAAAATAGCAACAGAATGAGATTTCTGTCACTATATTATGTATGTAATTACTCATTCACACCCAATCACACTAAATAGTACATAGACATACATACTCTTAAGGACACATATTCAATACATAAGGAATGCATGTATAAGAGGGAGGTGAACGTGAGTGGGGTTTAGAGATCAAGATGAAAATTTAAACAAAAGCAGGGCTTTGCATGAACTGATGATAACAGTTTGCTGTAGTTGAAGAGTATGATTTTAATTTAATTCTCTGCACCTCAGGTCCAAAAAAAGAAAAAAAAGTATATGTAGATGCAGCATAAATGCCAAAACTCTCCTTTTCACAAGCCCATAGGCAGACATCAGCAAATAATCATATTCCTCTTTTCATCTCTCCCTAGGTATGTCTCCCTGCCCTCTCTCCTCATCTACTACAGAATTTGTATTATTTGAGACCTATTTTAAAATCAGAGTTGTCAAAGTGCTTGATCCTTTCAGGAATAAAGTTGTAAAATTATTTCACAAATTTGAGATGGAAGTAAGGATTGTGATCAAGAATGGAAGAAAGACCCTGAGAATTAATAGTGGAGGTCAAATTGGAATGTTGTTAAAGATTAAATAAGAATTCCCCCCGTACCCGGAAAGAGAAGAGTCAATTGGGGGCACTACCAGATAGTCCTCTCCTGCTTCTAGACACTGCTCAGAGTGCCCAACCCAAGGGAAGCTGGAAATAGTAAAAATAAGAAAGCAAGAAAAATGCCTTAAATGATCACAAGATAGAGCCATACGGTGCAATTAAAGAACTAGATTGATAATTCCCCTTAAAACTCAGGGCTAGAAAAACATCTGTGCTCTTGATAAACTTTGTGCTTCCTTTATGACTAACTAGAGCTGAGTAAGATATTTGTGTTTCTCTCTTTTGCCTTTTGCTTTCAGGTTATTCAGAGTTTAATTTTTGCTCAAAGACAGATATTGAAATGAGGCAGTTAGAGAAAGGGGGTTTAGTTAAAACAAAACAGAACATAAAGCTAAATATCACAATGTGATGAACCTTGAAATCATTAAGCTAAGTGAAAGAAGCCAGACATAAAAGGCCACATATTGTAAGATCCATTTATATGAAATGCCCAGAATAGGCAAGTCCATAGAGATAGAAAGTAGATAGTGGTTTCCTCAGGTTGGAGAAGGGCAGGGAAACAGGGAAGGTGGAGGATGGGAGTGATTACAAATAGGTATGGAGTTTCTTTGGGTGGTGATGAACATGTTCTAAAATCAGATAGTGGTGATGGTTTCACAATTCTGTGAATATCCTACAAACTATTGAATTGCACACTTTTAAAGGGTGAATTTAATGGTATGTGAATTTTATCTCAATAAAGCTCTGTGTGTGTGTGTGTGTGTGTGTGTGTGTGTGTGTATCATGAGCAAAAGAAGAGGTAGAGTCTAACAGGCAGATAACTAATGTGGAAAGAGGAATGTGCCCTGGAAATTTTGGGTTCTACCATGCACTAGTTGGGAGACTTGTGGCTCATTATTATCTTGGACTTCAATTTCTGCATCCACATGTAAAGCCATGAATGTGGAATAGATAAAATCCATCCCTTTGAAATACAAAATGGATTAATATTTTGTAATACTAATGCAGGTCCCTTTGGCCCCTATCACTCAAAGGTCAAGACCATCTCCTATTATGTGAGTTAAAATTACATAAACAAGAAATCTGGGAGACAGAAAAAAAAGTCAAATACAGCTTAGCACTGGTCATCTCAGAAACAACAACAATCTGGAGGAAAACAGTGAGAGTGGTAGAAAAAGCCACAGAAGTGAATGAAGTTACTTAAGAAGACTATATAAAAATGAGACTAGAAAAGGGCTACGGGTTCCATCCCCAAACATTAAGGCATTGTCAAATGCATTTATTCATTCACTCAACAAATATTTATTGAGAACCTGCTACACGCCAAGCAGATTCTAGGGCCAGAAATATAGCAGTGAATGAAACAGAACAAGGCTCTGGTCTCATTGGCTTACATTTTAGTCAAGGAGAGGAGATTAACAAGAAAGAAGTAAACAAATAAAAGAAATTTAGAAATAATAAGAGATAGGAAGAAAATGAAACAGAGTAATCTGAGAGAAAATGACTTGGCAGGAGGGGAGGGTGGATACTTTAGATAGTGGTCAGGTCACCCCTCCAAAAGGTGGTATCTGAGCTGAGACCTGAGTGAAGAGGGAACCAACCCCTTAATGGATTTGCAGGATCAGCACAGAAAAAGGAGCTGAGATGGAAACAAGACTATTGTTTGTAGAACCAAGAGAAGATCATCTGGAGTGCAGTGAGTAAGTATATATATACTTTATATACATTATATATATATATATATATATGTGTGTGTGTATACATACATATATATATAATGAAAACTGTAAAGTGGATGGACGCATTAAAGTTCTGTTATTTCTATGACCTCTCTGAGCTTCAATTTCTTCATCAATGAGATGGAATATTATGTGACAGGGTTGTGCTAAGGATCCTGACTACTAGACAAAGAATAAATAACATTAGGCCAATCACAGGAAGATCCTGAGAGCCAGTGGGAAGTGGCATAGATGCAGCAAATGAAGGTTCATGCGGGTCCCTCTAAGGTGATGCATGAATTCAGAGCAACTAATGCCAAATACACTTACAAGTTGTTGGTGGGATTCTGAACTATCATTTATGATCCAGCAAAGAAGTCCAGGAGTCTATGGACTAATTCCTAGAAACCCTATTTAAGGATAGGGATCTTGTATTATTTACTTTTGTGTTTACTTCCTAGCAGAGAGCCTGGAACAGGGTAAGTGCTTACTCGGAATTTGGTGCTCTAGTCACACAAAGAAGTCAACATGATTCCAAACCTGCCGATGCACAAGCCCACAGAAACTGCCACTCTTTAAAGAAGTTATACGACCTAAGAAAGGGCAACTAAACTGGTCAAAGAATTGGAAGCAATACCTTGATTGCAAAAACAACCTTAGAGAAAAATAAAAGCATAGCACGAAAACCTACAATCGTGTGAAAGATCTAGATAAGAGCAACACACATTTGCTAAAGCTCAGGATATCAGGCCTGGGGTCTGCCTCAGAAATTCTGAAAGTCAGAAATTTCAGAGAAGGAAAGGGAACTACTGCTTTGTTCGCCAGGTAATTTATATATGAAATCCAGTAACGCCAAAAGCGGTAAAGGGAAATCACCATCCAATGTGATCTGCATACCAGAAGGATTTTATGAAGCATGGAGATCATTATAGTATTCTTTTTTTTTTCCTTAAAGATTGGCACCTGAGCTAACAACTGTTGCCAATCTTCTTTTTTTTTTCTCTGCTTTTTCTCCCCAAATCCCCCCAGTATGTAGTTGCATATTCTAGTCGTGGGTCCTTCTAGTTGTGGGATGTGGGACTCTGCCACAGCATGGCTTGATGAGCCATGCCATGTCTGCGCCCAGCATCTGAACCAGCAAAACCCTGGGCCGCTGAAGCGGAGCACTTGAACTTAACCACTTGGCCACGGGGCCGGCCCTATAATGTTCTTGATATTGAAGATAAGAAGACAATCATGTGTTTCTACCACTTATCCTATAAGGACATTGGTCATAAATACTTAGTTGGAAGGTGGCATGCCCAGACTGGAGTGGCAATTTGTATGAGATGGTTATATTTCAGAAGGAATTCAAAGTCTAGATCCTTTAAGTGAAGACTTGATTCCAGAAATGGTTGGGTTTATAAAATACTGTGTACGCAGGACTCTGCAAAGACATAGACACTGTGTAAATAAAAGTTCATCTGAATTCTTTTCTGACTTGCAGAGAGATGTGGAAGAAAACAATCTAAAAATTGTATTATTGGTGAGGTAGTATTCAGTAGTGGTTAGGGGCATGGACTCTGCACACACATTGGCTGTGTTTGAATCCTGATTCTATCCTTTACTCACTGTGTGACCTCTCTGAGCCTTAATTTTCTCAGCTCTAAAATTATAATAATATCTATCTCAGAGCATTTAGTGATACTTACATTCCTAATATTTGTAAAGC